AAAACACACTTTGAAGCATTTTCCGACGCCCCCCCCGCTGATGTTGGATGGTGAAGCTCGGTGGGCTGTGAATCATCATCAATAAAGCATCATTTGACTATTTTTTGTAAATGAAACGTACTGTTATATTAATAGTATTATTTGTTAAGTCTTTTGTTCTCTGTGAAGTCTACAGTTCAACAGTGTGTTTTTATCTAGCCGAGAAAGAGTTGAGTGTGACCGTCTCAGCGCTCGCTTACATACGGGTCTGCCGCTCCGCAATGGGGGTGGAGGAAGAGCCTATCGGATCAAACATGGCTATACAAAAATAACGAGGACCTCTATCGATCGACGAAAATGAGCTAATAAAAACAAACATCTTAAAATGGAGGTTAGTGAGTATCGGACGCATTCAGCGAGAGCAGAGCGCTCGGGTTTGATTCTACCCGAGAGCGACCGAAGCATCACCGCAGTGACATTCAGCACAAGTGCGCACAAAGTGGCGACTTCACTGCGAAAGAGCCATCGGGTTATTAAACCGCCAACTATCATGGAGGAAACCAGCAAGTGTGACGATGATCGAATGCAAAGACGACCGACCGAACGTTCCATTGCTTTTGCAGGATTCCATAATCCAGTCCGCGGATTAGGATAGATGTGTGGAACTGATAATCATTCTTTCACAATCTACTAGATACAGACTACTTCATTATAAAGCAAAATAAAATAAACAATAAATATGAAAAAATATAGGCCTATGTATATTTATAATCTATGACAAAAATGTATCATAAACTAGGTTAGTGGATAATTCGGCAGCAAAAGTTATTCTAGAAAAATCAGTGCACAATAATTTTAGAAATCCAAACATTTAGTGAAAAAACTATATTTTGTGGGGAACAAATAAAAGTGTTGCACTAAATATGGTAAAATGTTACACTTTTGAATGTATAGCATATTTTTTAATAAGGCAACAACATATGATAGATACGATAGGACAAAACAAATACAGTGCAGCACAAACTGTTTTTATACAGTCTATGAGCACGAAGCGCTTCATAGACTGTATTTACAAATCAAGTATAATGGGAACACAGAATGATCTTAGAGAGAGCTTTACCGAGCTGACTGCTGTAACCGAACGGCACCAGGGTTTAAAGTCTGAACGAATGACTGACAGCCACAGCGGAGAAAAGAGTTTGTGTGAACGTTAATGTAAGGACTTAAATATTCATATGTAGCTCACATTAAGCTATCCTATGGCTTCAGAAGTAACACAGAATAATTCGCACAATCGAGAGAAAAAAATAAATAAAATCTCGGATTTGGATCGGCCCTCTCTGACCGACACCCGATCCGAGAAAAATGGCACTATCGGAGCCGATACCCAATATGAATATCGGATTGGCGCATCCCTAATAAAAAGAGCCCATCCATTAAAAAAAAGTGTCTCACACAGCTCCGGGGGGTGAACAAAGGCCTTCTGTAGTGAATCATATGAAAAATATCCATATTCAAAACATAATAATCACTTTAATGTAGCTTGCGCCAACAGTTGTACACGGAAGCAATTCCGGCTGATGAGGTATGAGGTCAGTGCTGCACATGCGCCGGTGAGTCTCGTGAAACCCAACGTTTGTTTACAGGATCAAAGGAAGCAAAGTTTCCTTACTTTAGCAAAGGAAAACCAGTCTCCTCTTGGCTTATATCAAAATCCTCCGATATTCTTCTTTACAAATCCTCGTTTTGTACTTCTAATTAGTGACCGCTGTTTTTTTATCTCTCCGCTGCACTTCCACGTGCGTCACTTCTGAGCGGCGCATGCACAAAGCCGACCTCATATATCATTCCCGCGGAGCGGCTTCTGTTTACAACAGTGAGTGCAAGCTACATTAAAGTGATTATTACGTTTTGAATATGGATATTTTTCTTACAAAAACGCATCGATTCGCTACAGAAGGCCTTTGTTCACCCCCCGGAGCCATGTGAGAGACTTTTTATTAATGATGGGCGCTTTTTATTTAACTTCTTTTGGACTGATGCATGCAACACCCACTGAGTGCCATGAAACAGCTTGAAAGATCAAAGACAATTATTAATATAACTCCCGACTGGATTCGTCTGAAAGAAGAAAGTCATATACACCCAGGATGACTTGAGGGTGAGTAATTTATGGGCTAATTTTAATTTTTGGGTGAACTAACCCTTTAATAGAGGAAAAAGTGTGAAATGACTCATGAAGAGCACAAATTAAGTATGACTATAATGATATTTTACTTCCAAAAGTCTTTGTATATACATTACATTACCATTCAAAAGTTTGGGGGTAGTAAGATATTTTGATGTTTTTGAAAGTGCTTACTAAGGCTGCATTCATTTGATCAAAAATACAGTAAAAACATTAATACTGTGATATGTTACAATTTAAAATAAATGTTTTACTTTTAATATATATATATATTTCTGTGATGGTAAAGTTAAATTTTCAGCAGCTATTTTTTCAGTCTTTAGTGTCACATGATCCTTCAGAAATCATTCTAACATGCTGATTTGGTGCTCAAGAAACATTTCTTATTATTATCAATGTTGAAATGTTTCTTTGGTAACCGTGATACTTTTTTTTTCAGAATTGTTTGATTAAAAGAAGATTAAAAAGAACAGCATTTATTTGAAATAGAAATCTTTTGTAACTCTTTAAATGTCATTTGCTGTTATTTTTGATCAATTTAATGCATCCTTACTGAATAAGTGTTAATTTCTTTCAAAAAATAAAAGATAAATCTTATTGACCCCAAACTTTTTAACAGAAGTGTATGTCTACTTTTAGTTCAGCATTGGTTATTTAATATTGCATATTGCATATCAAGTTGCTAAACTGAAAATTAACTTTTTACATTAATTGTCTCCCCTTTCTCAAAATGCTCTTAGATTATTTGAATCGTCCTCCAGGACATGTAAATTATTTGCATAGAACATTTGTTGTGTGAACGAGAATGAAAGAGCAGACATGTGAGGTGGGAAAGAATGACCTAGTTACAGGCATGTTGTGGTAAAGTGTGTTCTGGAAGGTTTGTACTAAAATGATTGGGTGTGAATTGGTGGTATTCATGTAAAGTTAAGATGGGCTGATAGTGTTTGATTTTGAGGGTATAATATTGCTTGAAAAATAGTGCAACTTAAAGGATAATATTCCTTGTTCTTTTGTATTAAATGTGTTGTTGCATCAAATTAACTACTGTAAACCAGCTTGTAATCATGAATCTTTGACCTTTAGATAATGGTAGATAGTGTTGAATAGTCACAATCAGTGTATTTCCATGATAATATAATTTGCCTTTTTTTTCCTCCTTGCTTTTCTCATTTTTGTGTGACAAATTGAACAAGGAAACATTACAAATCGAGATTGTTCAGCACTCTGTAACATGAATTACATTATATTGACCAGTATCTAATAATCTTTTCATATATCCCTTTGCATGCTTCTCAAACACCTGCATGTGCCTAAACCCTGACTCGCACACATGCACAGATCTGTGTCTCACGCTCATCTGTCAGTGTGTCATCATGGAGAACTTCCGCCCCCTCTTTCCTGTCCATCCGAGGGCAGAGTGAGAGTGTTAGAGTAAAGGGTACGAAGAGTTTGAAGAGTGCAGTGTGTGCTTGTGTGCTCGTCTCCATCAGATCTAGATTTATTCATCCATCTCTTATGTAAGACTATACAAAAAAAAAAAAAACATTTATTATATAGTGAATGATTGGTAACAAAGTTTACCAGAATGTTCAGTGCATTTGACATGATTTTGATATTATGGATCACATCTAAAAGATTTTTTAAGTGTGCTTTATGAGTGTACCCAGTTAATAAAATAATCACTGTTTTCAAACAGGTTTCCTGAACATTCACTGATCAAATAAACACATTGGTCAGTCTATCCACAAAGTTGGGATAGAAGAAAGTTTTGTTTTTTTTAATACACAGTTTACCTTGAAATTAATTCATTAAAAATTAAATTGATTTCCTTTGAGATGTAAATGTAAGGCTATAAATGCACTCTTCTATCTGTTCCTGACATTTATTCTAAAGGATGTTGTAGCGTTTTAAAGGAATATTTCACCCAAAAATGAAAATTTGCTGAAACTTTCCTCACTCTCAGGCCGTCCAAGATGTAGATTTGTTTCTTCATCAGAACAGATTTGAAGAAATTTAGCATTACATTGCCTGCTCACCAGTGGATCTTCAGCAGTGAATGGGTGCCGTCAGAATGAGAGTGCAAACAGCTGATAAAAACATCACAATAATCCACAAGTAATCCACACGACTCTTGTCTGTCAATTAACATCATCCGAAATGAAAAGCTGCGTGTTTGTAAGAAACAAATCCATCATTTAGACATTTTTAATGTCAAACCGTTATGAGTCCTCTATCTGTAAAACAGTTTTCTCTTCTGAATTAGGAGAGAAATATGCAGAGATTAAGCACCATTTACAAGTGAAAGCAGTCCAAAACAGTGAAAGGTAAAACGCCTTAATGCTACAAACATGCAGCTTTTCACTTTACAGGCCTTTAATTGATAGACTGGAGTCCTGTGGATTATTGTGATTTTTTTTTATCAGCTGTTTGAATGCTCATTCTGACGGCACCCATTCACTGAAGAGGATCCATTGGTGAGCAAGTGATGTAATGCTAAAATTCTCTAAATCTGTCCCAATGAAGAAACAAACTCATCTATATCTTGAATGGTTTGAGGGTGAGTACATTTTCAGAACTTTTCATTTTTGGGTGAACCATTCCTACGATAAATGATGATTTCCAAACTGAGGTAAGTTGTGGTCATCACTTGTTTGTGGGTTTACTCATACTAACCGAGTGGCATTGGTTCTGTCTGTCTGACTTCACATCAGGTAATCTAACAGTTTTAGAAAAACTCAAATCCTATCAAAACGTCCTCTGCATTAGGAAATCATATTCTTTTTCTTCTGTTTTTTTCCCCTCTGTATAATTACATTATATTGACCAGTATCTAATAATCTTTTCATATATCCCTTTGCATGCTTCTCAAACACCTGCATGTGCCTAAACCCTGACTCGCACACATGCACAGATCTGTGTCTCACGCTCATCTGTCAGTGTGTCATCATGGAGAACTTCCGCCCCCTCTTTCCTGTCCATCCGAGGGCAGAGTGAGAGTGTTAGAGTAAAGGGTACGAAGAGTTTGAAGAGTGCAGTGTGTGCTTGTGTGCTCGTCTCCATCAGATCTAGATTTATTCATCCATCTCTTTATGTAAGACTATACAAAAAAAAAAAAAACATTTATTATATAGTGAATGATTGGTAACAAAGTTTACCAGAATGTTCAGTGCATTTGACATGATTTTGATATTATGGATCACATCTAAAAGATTTTTTAAGTGTGCTTTATGAGTGTACCCAGTTAATAAAATAATCACTGTTTTCAAACAGGTTTCCTGAACATTCACTGATCAAATAAACACATTGGTCAGTCTATCCACAAAGTTGGGATAGAAGAAAGTTTTGTTTTTTTTAATACACAGTTTACCTTGAAATTAATTCATTAAAAATTAAATTGATTTCCTTTGAGATGTAAATGTAAGGCTATAAATGCACTCTTCTATCTGTTCCTGACATTTATTCTAAAGGATGTTGTAGCGTTTTAAAGGAATATTTCACCCAAAAATGAAAATTTGCTGAAACTTTCCTCACTCTCAGGCCGTCCAAGATGTAGATTTGTTTCTTCATCAGAACAGATTTGAAGAAATTTAGCATTACATTGCCTGCTCACCAGTGGATCTTCAGCAGTGAATGGGTGCCGTCAGAATGAGAGTGCAAACAGCTGATAAAAACATCACAATAATCCACAAGTAATCCACACGACTCTTGTCTGTCAATTAACATCATCCGAAATGAAAAGCTGCGTGTTTGTAAGAAACAAATCCATCATTTAGACATTTTTAATGTCAAACCGTTATGAGTCCTCTATCTGTAAAACAGTTTTCTCTTCTGAATTAGGAGAGAAATATGCAGAGATTAAGCACCATTTACAAGTGAAAGCAGTCCAAAACAGTGAAAGGTAAAACGCCTTAATGCTACAAACATGCAGCTTTTCACTTTACAGGCCTTTAATTGATAGACTGGAGTCCTGTGGATTATTGTGATTTTTTTTTATCAGCTGTTTGAATGCTCATTCTGACGGCACCCATTCACTGAAGAGGATCCATTGGTGAGCAAGTGATGTAATGCTAAAATTCTCTAAATCTGTCCCAATGAAGAAACAAACTCATCTATATCTTGAATGGTTTGAGGGTGAGTACATTTTCAGAACTTTTCATTTTTGGGTGAACCATTCCTACGATAAATGATGATTTCCAAACTGAGGTAAGTTGTGGTCATCACTTGTTTGTGGGTTTACTCATACTAACCGAGTGGCATTGGTTCTGTCTGTCTGACTTCACATCAGGTAATCTAACAGTTTTAGAAAAACTCAAATCCTATCAAAACGTCCTCTGCATTAGGAAATCATATTCTTTTTCTTCTGTTTTTTTCCCCTCTGTATAGGAAACTGAAGACGCCCAAGACTGAGGCGAAAGAGTGATTCAAGTTGTTTTCTGGAATAACAAAGAACATTTTTATTCCTATTGAGTATTTTGTAAAATGCAAACTGTTTTTAGACTTACTGTTCTAGATTTCCTTAGCTAAAAGTCAACTCACACTCCCCACTGAAGCACCGTACCTGTCTCCTTCTCTTTCATCTGACAGAAAAATAGATTCATTTCAAGGAGAAGCAACAGTTATTCTTGAATATTTCACCAGCAGCTCGCCTGCCAAATGCAACCACTTGGAACATGTCACATACTACATATTAAAAGCAACCGGTTCATCTTTTGACACCAGAGTGCATAGCCTTAGCTCCATGTATATGGTTACTAAGGTGTAAGTCTGGTGCGCATTTTCTTTGAGTCTTGTTATTTAATTGGTCAAATATCATAAAAAAGAACAAAGAATACAGAAAGAAGGGAGAAAATGGGGATGAGAGATTTAAATATTAACCCTTTGCTTTTTTTATCTCCTTTGTAGCATTTTGAGATTCAAGTGTGTTCTTTTAAAATTGCTGAATTAAACATGACCCTTAACAGTGGCAGATATCCATAGCAATAAACAAGAGGTGCTTCGTGCTAAAAGGTTAGGAAAACTACAAGAACTGAATCACAGAAAGATGTACAAGTCCACAGAACTGGTTTGAGATACTCTCTGTAAAATGTTTTCAAATAAAAGATGAATAAGCGGTCAATTGACTCGTGTGTGTGCTTTACTTTAATGCCCCACAAGTACCGGGGTTGTCTTTATTCTCACAGAAACAAAAGTTCAAAGGCTGCCTTAATGTCGGTCTAGTATTTTTAACTAATTTTAGAAAAACGTGATCATTTTGGGGGGGGGATAATATTTATTATCTAATATCTTATTTATTAGATAAATATTATTTATCTAATAAATAAATATGTAATAAAATAAAATATTGGAACAACAATGGAAAATGGTCAAATTAGTACAAATTTTTCTTTAATCTAGTGTCTTTCATGAATTGATATATTTATATATTTAGAATTATAATTGAGTGAAACTTTACAATTAATCCTTTAGTATTGCGCTTAAAGGCTTAGCTCACTCTTAGTTGTCTTTTCTGCATAATACTTTTTTTGTGAACGAAATATAAATCATAAGCGTCTTATTTATAGTAACATGACTATAACTATATTATTACTACTAATATTAATATAAACATTTGCAAATGATTTTTTCAAGTAATTTATGCCATTATAAAACTGCAAATTAGGAAATTCACACATAAAAACGTGGCTATTTTTCTGCTGTGGTTCATATTTGATCAATTTATTGTAAATATGATGTGAGATAAACATCTGGATGAAAACAGGTATTTAACTTTTCAATGATGCATCAAAAATATAGATGCAAAAGAAACGTAGAGCACTTCAGCATGTGTCTTCCTCAGGAAAAATTTAGAGAGATTATCAAATGTCACGTAATTTATTGGTTACTTTAAAGATTTTTAATTCCAACAATGCAATTCCTAGTTTTCTGAACAGGGAGAACGTGGAGGGAAATAATGGCAACACTGTACCACAGAGAGTTAACTTTGTGGAAAACTCTTGAGGGTCCAGGGTGTTTAGTCTAAAGCTACAAAAGCCTTTCAGTGTAGTTCTTTATACACAGACACATGTGACCCTAAACACACACGCACACACTCACTAAATACAACTGCTGATGTCAGAAAGTGAAAGATCAGCAATGCCATGGGGAGGCAGGAACAGAGAAGAGGAAATTAATGGACTGACAACACTCGTTGGTCTGGACTGCTGTCTTTCTGCGGGCCCAGCCAATAGACCAAAAGCCCCATATAGTAATACATCTGTGTGTTAATGATCACACACAAGCAACATATTTCTGAAGTGTAGAAATGAAAGTGCTTCTTTCTTTTTAAATTGATATGGTTGATTTAGAGGATCTGCACTTGTTAGGAACGCTGTGCATTTTATAGTGTTACTGTTGCTTGTTTGTGATAAGGATGCCTTTAGAAAGAAGACCCACTGAATTTCATGAACAGACATTTAAAATAATTAACATTAAATATTAGTCCAAATGTGGTCTAAATAAAATGGAACAGGAAACTTTATTCACATTATTATTATTATTATTCCACATGGCTTAAATTGAAATAAACTTACCATGAAAACTCATATGTACGACCAAATAATAATGCATCAGCAAAATAGAGATATATGTATTATACATTGAATTATAGAATTAAGGACAGATTTATGTACAGATTTGATTCTGATACAGAATTGGTGATGTTGATAAATGTGGTCTAAATAAAATGGAACAGGAAACTTTATTCACATTATTATTATTATTATTCCACATGGCTTAAATTGAAATAAACTTACCATGAAAACTCTCATATGTACGACCAAATAATAATGCATCAGCAAAATAGAGATATATGTATTATACATTGAATTATAGAATTAAGGACAGATTTATGTACAGATTTGATTCTGATACAGAATTGGTGATGTTGAAGTGCACATTTTCCCCATTATTCAAGAGTTGTATCCCTCACTTTAAATATTTTATAAGGACAATTTTTACTATTATCAGAGGTTACTCTTTGAAATGTTTTTTAATGAACAAGCTTTCATTTATAATTATTATTATAGGAAACTATAACAATGCTCTGAATGAATCTAGAGAAGATCCAAGGAGGAAAAACCTCCAACCTGATTTATTTACCCTTATAACCTTTGACCCATGTTTGGCCCCCGAGCTCATCATCTGAAAGGATAGTCCTGACCTCCAGTGGCAAGAAAACATACTGCATGCCACTGATCACAAAATGACAACATTCTTCCATTTTAGAATCTTTAATCCAATATATTTTAAGAAGGTGTTTATGGTTTGTATTTTTAGTATTCTGAATCAAAATGAGTCACACTTTGAGTGGGGTTTTGCTACTATCTAAACCTACTTGTGAAGTTTAATGCCTACTCAGCCACTTCACAAGATCACCACCGTTACTCAAACATGTGATAAGTTGCATCAGTTTTGCTTAAGTAGCCTCGAAGCCAAAGCTGCTACATTCAAGTCGTTCTTAAGTATCTGACTGCTTTTCTCCTCCACATATACTTTGTGTCAGTAGTTTAGCAAGTGTTACATCACCAAATGCAGTTAAAACTAACTGTTGAACTGAGGATTCTACAAGCAAGGGGAAACAAAAAGACACAGATTGTATCAAAGTCACCTTTTTAGCTCAGAGAACCTCAAACACTTCCTTTGTCTAATGCCTTAAAACAAGAGTACATCTATCTGAATTTGTGATTATAATGGTAATGTCAATGTGTGCAGCCATACATAAATACGTTTACTTAGCTAATTGCTAAAGCTAACTTACCCTACATTTTTTTTGTATTTGTTATTTATTTTAGTTTTCAAATAGGGACATCCTGAATATCCTTTAAGAAAGGTTTTGTAAGATTTAACTCACTTTCGGGGATGATATTGGTACATACATTCACAAATGTAACACTATGTAAATGTGCGTTATATGCACATACAAATGTATTTAAAATACATACAATGAAAAAATCTCTCAGTCCATAAAACTGTTATTATATTCTTTAATGGTTGCTGGGTTATTAAGCCTCATGTTTAACTCTCATTTGCATTACTTGCAAAATACAGTCAAAGCAAAAAGTAGGTTTAGCCTCTTGAACTTAACAAGCATTGACTATAAAACAGCTGGTGGTGTTTATTTAACATGGATAACTAATTAGGGAACTTAGACTAGTTAGATCAGGGGTCTCCAAACTCGGTCCTGGAGGGC